AAGGAATAACTAGTCCATACCCATTGAGTGCACAGTTGCCCACGTACAGTTTCACATGGTGTGTTTGGGATACAGGTCATAGAAAATTGCAGATTAAATAGTCAACTGAACCCATTAAGAAGAGCAATGTATTCAGACAGAGTTTTTGTGAATTTGATAGTACGATTGCTTTATTGAAAGTACAGTAGTACCATTGCCAATAGTGGGATAGTTAGTGGGTTAAAACTGTACATTAGTAGTTGAGGTAGCACGTTGAAAGGCAGATAGTTAAAGTCATTGGCTTACAGAAGCTCACTTTTAGTAAGTTTTCCAACTTTTGCCAAGAGGGAACTTTAGATATTGGTCCCTAGATTATGTTCACCGAGTTTCATGCAGATCAGTCAAACTTCCTAGGAAGAGATCGATTTTACGTGTTTTTCAAAAAATTCAAAATGGCGGAAAATCTATATAACTGGAAGTTATGGATTCTTGAGGCAAATTTGTTCCTCGTGAGGAGAGGCATCTCTGTGCAAAGTTTCATGTCTCTACGAGATACGGGGCATGAGATATGCCCATTCAAGGATTGCAATTTCAATCGGTTGCTATAGCGCCCCCCTTTGGCCAATTGATGTAATATTGCTTCATTTGCATCCTCCCATGACCCTCTACCACTGTGCCAAATTTCACATGGATTGACCAAGTCAGTGAGGAGAAAAACGTGGAACAGACACACACACAGACACACAGACAGAGTTTTCATCATTATACAGTAAGATAAGATATAATAAGATAAGATCGATAAATATAAATTCATTGTTCCCCATACATTGATTTATTTTTTGGCAGTCCACCGTAATATCAACACTGACTGCCACATATTAATCTTCTTGTTTTTTTTTCTCCTTACTATTCAAATTGGGTAAAATCTTCTTTCATTGTAGAACTGTGTACAGCATATTCGCTGAGCCACTCCTCCCCTTGCTTTGTCAGGCATTGTCTCAGCCCTAAAGCCTATAATTATGGCCATTTATGTAGTTTATAGCTTATTCATCATAAGAAATATGTCACAAAAAGCGCATAGATAGGACTGCGTTCAACCAAACCCCTTCGGATTACAAAAATGCATAAACACATCAAACCTTTTGCTGACAAACAACACCGCTGAAGCTTTAATGTTCGGTTTTGATTACTACCGAAGCTCCTGAGCCCCCCAAAAGTTAATCAGGACACCCCTAATAAAGAGATAGCACAGATCTACAATATTACATAATTTAAAAAAGTGCTTTTATAAATATCCAGGGGGAAAATATGACTGAATTTTAACACCAATCCCTGTAGAGCGCCCTTTGCTTTAAGATCAAAGCAGATGGATGGAAATTTGTTTTTATGAATTCAACTAAATCACAGTTTGTGTGCATATGCAATGCACAAGGTTTCTATTCGAGGCAAATCACTGTTGTGAAGGTCTTGACCTTTGATTGTTTTGTTTTTTTTGCCATCCTCTGGCCTTGCTCTTGCCAGCCCACTCCTTGGAACATGGGCAATAATCACCCACACTAAACAGCGGGCTCTTAAAATACATGAATTATCCTAGCAGAGAAAAGGGTGTGTATGCAGATGTGGGTGCCTCTTTAGCTCCGTTTATGGGTCGTTAACTGACATGTGAGAATATAATTTGTCTTTATTTGTGCATATTGATGTGTGCATCTGAAAGAATGATTGTGTGTGTGTGTACATGTGTGTTACTGATCTTGAGCTGGAGGGCTGTGTGGGCAGAAGCGTCCCATGTCGGTATAAATTGATTTCCAGAATCCAGATGCTAGGTGCTCTATGCAGGAAAGAGCTGTGTGCTTCTGCACCCATTTACGAGAGGAAAAAAAATGTTTATAGCTGTGTGTGTTTGTGTAAGCGGTGCGTTTGAGAATGAGTAAGAGGGTAAGAGAGAGACAGAGAGATAGATGATAAAGGAACGATGACACTGGAAATCTGATGTCTCTGTTTCCATAATTGACCAAAAAGTGAAAATTGTAGTTTCCAAGTTAGTCAAAAGTGATTTGTTTCCTGACGCAACCAGCAACCTGTTTGAAACAGCTGGTTGTTTGGTTATTCATGACAACCAGAGTTTCCGTGCATTTCATATGTGTGTAAGTTCTTTGTTTATGCATGAAAAGAGAGAGAGAGATGCAGCGTGTCAGAACAAGTGTGATAAACAGTGAGGCAGTGGAGACACACACACACACACACACACACACACACACACACACACACACACACACACACATACACACACACACACACAGCCTGCATTTAGAAACTGTAGTCACCCAGAAATGACAAACCCATCACTTTTTTGGCAGGCAGTTGCACCAGTTTAGCATATTCATTACAATGTGGTTTACAGGGCAGGTCTTAGCTGCATACAACAGGCTAATGATGGATGGTGGCCATTAAATCTCTATGTAATTCCCTCCTTGTAATTAATATTGATTTTAAATCAGCCAGCATGAACACATTTTAATTGGTAACTGCATTTTTAAAAATGTCATGCACATGACTCCTTCCACCACTGAAAAATACTAATTTCAGCACAGCAGGAAGGAAAATGGTCTCCGATTTGACCCATTTCCAGATTTCACTCCAACTCAGGATTCATTTGGATTCATTGGTTTAATGTGCAGTTATTTCCCAGTGAGTATTAAAGGCTAAAGAAGTTTCTGAATACTTAACCGCTGGTTTTTCACCATTGTTAAGTTGCACAGTTTGTTCTGGGAGCTGTCCGTTGCTATGGTGCTGAAATTTTTTCCCCCTCCAAAGCACATCCTCTAATACAAAGACGTGTCTACTTGAGACCACTTGTAATTGGCTGAGAGCAGTTCAAGTGATCCCTCCCTCTAAGACTGATTTACATGAATACTTTTTGGGCTCAGGAGATAGAAATGATACAATAATCCCCATGAAAAAACTAAGATTAAAAGAAATAAACCAAAGCAATATATTCCTTTCGCGGTGTTGGGGAAGCTACTTTAAAACGTCTAATTACTTCACACTGTTGAACTACAGCAAAACTAGCCTAGGGAGAAATCTATGTTTGGTTAACTAAAACTATACTGAGGAAAAGTACGGTAAACTATTAATAACTAGTCGTTTCTTAGCATGCATATCAGTAGCATACTGACTCTTTATTAGTCATTATAAAGCAGAATATGTTTGTAAATCTCTTAAGTGGTCCATTAATAAAGAAGATATTTGTGCTGACTTTGTTCTTCTGCCACTGACTGGGACTAAAACCTGTGCATCTCAATAAACCTCCATAAGGTGTAACTCATCACTTTAAAATAGGATCTGTTAATTGCAGTAGTTGAGTGCTATAATGGATTTCCTGAGTATGAAGTGGAGGCAGCCTCAGAATAGGAAAACAGTGTGGGTTAATATCAGTAAGTGTCAAACTATTAGTGAAGTAGTTATGAGCAAACCCTCATTTTAGATTTGGGAACATATCAAAAGACAGAATTTAAAGTTTTCTGGACAACATTAACGCTTGTAGTTTTGTTAATAAAGTACCTATCTATCTATCTATCTATCTATCTACATAAGAATAGACCATATTTATTAAGTGTTATTAAGGGACGGGACTACAGGGCTGGAGCCTATCCCAGCTGACATCGGGCGAGAGGCAGGGTACACCCTGGACAGGTCACCAGACTATCGCAGGGCTGACACATAGAGACAAACAACCATTCACACTCACATTCACACTTACAGACAATTTAGAGTCACCATTAACCTGCATGTCTTTGGACTGTGGGAGGAAGCCGGAGTACCCCGAGAAAACCCACGCTGACATGGAGAGAACATGCAAACTCTACACAGGGGCTCTCCCAACCGGCATTCAAAACAGGAACCCTCTTGCTGTGAGACGACAATGCTAACCACTGTACCACCGTGCCGCCCAGTCACATGCCAGCAAAACAATGCCACTCAGTTGAATTTATTACAAAAAGGGTCCATTGTGCACCAATCATAAATAATACAGAAAAATTAAATAACCCTCTACTACTGGGAAAGTGCAGTCACCTTTAGTTTGGTATACAATGTCCATCAGTCAGACCTGTGTTCAGAAACTAGAGTCCAGGTGGTGGTATAGCACCAAGCAGGATTACTCAGTTCACCAACCACTCAGCAAGAGGGTTCCTGGTTCAAACCCAGGGTTGGGGGGGGGGGGCTTCTGTGTCGAGTTTGCATGTTCTCTCCATGTCTGCTTGGGTTTGCTTGTGGTACTCCAGCTCCCTCCCACAGTCCAAAATCATGCAGATTAGGTTAAATGGTGACTCTAAATTGCCTGTAGGTTTGAATGTGAGTGTGAATGGTTGTCTGTCTCTTTATGTCAGCCCTGTGATAGTCTGGAGACCTGTCCAGGGTGTACCCTACGTAGGCTCCAACCCTCCGTGACCCATAGCAGGATAGGCTGTAATGGAAAATGAATGTATGAAGGATAATTATCATTACTTATCACTAATTGTGTACAAACTGGGTTCAATTATAGAAGAGAAGCAATGGTAAAATGATAAAAAGAAAAAAAAAAACATTATTTGCTTTCATGGCCCTAACTTGTAGTTTCAGTAGCTAACTACACAAAAAATGACAAATAGTATTTCAACTACTTGAACCACTATGAAAATATGAATTTAGCTTAACTACCAACAACCTACTGCAAAATGTAAAACTAATGGTTTATTAGGCTACTGTAGTTTAATGGTTTTGACGTTTTTTACACTACATTCTGCCCACCAAGCCTCACATAAAGTCTTAAATACGAAATATAATAGGTGCGTAATGAAAAGACCATGACACTCGCTCTCACACACTGTCAGTGAGCAGCACAGAGGCTGTTGCAGGGCGACAGCAGCAGCAGCACCGGGGCATGGGCAGGGTTGCCAGCACTTGAGTGTAATTCCGTGTGGGAGGAGGATGGGTGTGTTTGAGTGTATCTAGCCCTTTTCTCATCACACGCTCTGCTGTGCGCACAGACTGAAGACAAAGCGCAGAGAGGAGTCCACCTCTCCATGTGATGTGCAGCGGCTCGGTGAGGGCGCAACAGTAATCTCAGATACTGTCCCCGCATTTTTTTTTCTCCAAAAGATTTTATTTACGCTGCATGGAGAGTTAACCAAGTGCGCCTCTGCCATTTTTTTGCGGGTGTCCACTCACTTAGTGCTCCCTCCACTCCAGTTTCAACATTTGTGAAGTGGCTGCCTCACCCGCTCGGACCGGGGGCCGTCTGGTCTCTGATCTGGTCTCTGGAGTCCCCGGAGACTCGACGCGCTCCGTCAGAGCCAGGCTGTGCGGCTCCAGGATCAGACCCGAGCCACCCCGAGCTCTAGCGATGGAGATGATGGAGGGAGACGTTATGGACAAACTCGAGGACATGTCATCGGTGTACGACTTCGATCCGATCACCGGCAACATCCCCGCCACCAAAGTAGAAATCACCGTCTCCTGCAGGTGAGTTGCGGACGCGGGGAGCGCACGCGACGGACAGGAAAGTTCGGTGCGGTGTGGTGGAAAAGTTATGACAACGCCCCACCCTTCCTGTGGGGTTTAGTGAGAGGATGATCCGTAATACATAGATACAACTTCTCCTATACGCTGGTAAAACGCATAATGAGCTGCAGGTTTTTGGGTGGGGAGACAGCCTGCAGTCTGCATGGGTTAGTTCACTTATCAGGAAAGTTGTTAAGCCAATCTGTCTACCAAGACTATTTAAAGTAAGCGTTTTTAAAAATTATTATTCAGTTGATTTGTTTGCAATTCCGTGAGAAAAAACTTCTCACCTCTCACTGAAGGCGTTTCCGACCTGTGCCATCAAAAGGAGGTCTGGAGATGTGCAGAGCATCACAATAACTCATGCATGCTGATGTTTAAATGGAAAGGAAAAGGAAAGTAGAGGTGTGTGCACCACTGGCTATGCATGGTCCTACTGGAAAGCCAGTTAAGGAGACAAACTATGGTTTTAATGTTGGGTGACACAAGCAGAATGCCCTTATATGCTCCATCAAAAGTCCCAAAATTTTTAAATCTAGGACTCTGTGCACCTGGTTGAGGCTGGTTTGTCTCCATAGTGGTGCTTATAATAAAATGTTGGCATTGTACATTCCTGCAAACCATTGGTATGCTACACTTGTACATTTCAAATGTATCATATCAACATTTCTACAGTGGTTCTCATAGGAGTTAAGTGTCTCATGATGAGGAGGAGGGGACTGTGGATGGCGTGACACCTTAGCGAGATGGCTGCCACATAGCAGACAGCAGCAGACCACTGTTGAAGACAAATTTGGGCATTTTTTGACAAGGGTTTGGGACATTTCCAGCCATGTTTGTGCAATAAAATCAGGGTATTTTAAGCCAAAACATGATGTTTTACTAACCCTAACCAAGTGGTTTTTGTGCTTAAACATAACCACAGCACTGTCATATCATAAAATTGAAAATAGAAACATGAAGAAATATAAAGTTTTAACATATCCACACAAGATGTACAAATGCAACTCATCCATGGTTTGCAGAATTGTACAACGCCAGTGGCTATGCTGGTGACTGGGTTGAAGATCCTGTCAGACAGAAGCCTCCTTCATACTGAAGCTCATGCTGTGCCCATTGTAACCACTGGCAGAGCACTGAAAACGTCTTGCCTTCCTTTTCTGCATTCTTTACAAAGTACTGGATGTTAAAGACTTAAAAGTTTTCTGACATTCACACAGTGCCTGTGTCCCTGACTTCAATCTTTGTCACATTTTATAAATTTTCAGTACAAAGGTATTTTTCTTTCTCAGAAAGTACTTCAGGAGAAAAAAAATAAAAAATAAAAAAAAAATCCCCCTGCGCCAAATGAATCTCCCCACATCGCCTGTTCCATGAGAATAAACAGTCATTCCTCTTCCCATTAGAAAAGGTTTTAAAGTCAAGGCTTTCAACGCCTTTTGCCTCTCAGACACTCCAGTGCTGGCATGTCTTCACATTCTTCACACACGCTTGCACACACACATTCACTCTGAGAGACATCTCTCTGGTCTTTGATGCTGGGTTTTAGGTTGGTGAGCCATCGAAGCAGAGTGAGTTTGAGCTATAACAAGCTGTGTGTGCATTATTGATGGGCTTTCTGACGTTCAGAGAAGCTCACTGCCACATCTCTCTGCTCAGAGTGAAAAAAACCCCAGAAAAAAACAGACCCTGGCAAGAAATGAGTGTTTCATTTGACTGAATGAACAACCGTTTATTTATTTATTTTTTTATATTCTGCTCGTTTGTGTTGTGTAGAAAATGGTGGGCGATAGTGGAGAATCAGTTTAGTTTCAAGCAGAGAGGACGGCTAGCAAAGTGTTGCGTAGGCTACCAGTCAAAGCCCAGCATGGTTTCGGATTTTGTGTTTTTCTGCTTGTAACGATGAGGCGATTGGGATTACATGCCTCAGTGATGCGCAATTAAGCACCATTCAGGTAAATCATGAGTCCTATTCTGATAACTCCCTGCATTTATGCAAATGATTTCTCAGACGTGTGTGTGTGTGTGTGTGTGATTATGTGCTGATGTGTTGGAAAAAGAAGGAGACAGGCAGAGTAGTGGTGCAGATGCCTCCTACCAGAGAGAAGAGGAGTTTGGGAAGAAGAAATCATTAATCGAAAGGGGGAGGGTTGATGCTTTCCCCTGCTGCTTCACTGCCGCTTTGTGTGTGTGTGTGTGTGTGTGTGTGTATGACAGAGAGTGCAAATGAGTGAGAATAAGAGCAAGACAGGCTGAGAGAGTTCATCTCAGAAAACATTTGATGCATGCAAGGTTCAAACTACAGGCGAAATGTATGTAATCGGTTGGAATATACAGCTACACACTCTGTTGCAAACATGTCTGATGTTGGGTGGTGGCCTATTGAGCTTTAAAGACATCTCAAATATGTACAAGGTTGTTCCCGTAGGCTACTGTATGGGGCACTCCTGAAGCAGAAATCAACAGCTAAATCTCTCTGTCACATTCAAACACTTCTAATAACAGGTCAAGGCCTCTCAAATCCTCTAAATCCTTTGTACAGATGTTGTGTGAGTCAGAATCCTATTCAAGAAGAGAGGCTCCCCGTTGGGTCTTCTTCTTCGCTATTCTCCCTTTGTCATCATGTACATGCACTCGCTTAAATCTCCAAACCATGATGATAGCTGTTCCCTCCGGGGTTAATACCCCTTATTACAGGCTACACTCCCTGCTTTTGACAACGGATTATTATCAGGGCCAGTGACAAATGGTGAGGGGGTGGGTGGGTGCTGGATCTGTAAAAAAAAGGGTGGGGTGGAGGGGGGTAAAAGAATGAAGGATTTAATGTTACTATGCATAAGCAATCTGTTCAGTGTTAACGCAGGAAATCATATTTTGTCATGATCAGAGCCTTTATCAAGTGGTTTTAGTTGCCCAACCTCAAAAATGCTTTAAGTCCCTAGGATACGTCTGTCACCATGTTCACATCTCTCACTATGTTTGATGTGTCGTTTTCAGCACGTTTGGTAGGAAAGCTTGGCCTTCAGGAGCTACAGTTGTGTCAGAACTGGAAAACTGCTGAAACAGTTTGACACAAAAAAATAAAAGGGGAAAGAGGAGTATGTGGGGTCTGAATCCAACATGTGTTTTTTTTTCTTAAAGTAGTGTTTACACTCCCACGGGGCTTGTCAGTCAATGGTCTGCTTCCTGGAGAGAAATGAAAAGAGAAGGGTACAATTGGCGTGTGGACAGGAAAGCACAGGTTTAAACCTACAGCCACCGAGCCGAGGCACAGCCTTCATGTTCAGCCCTTTGTTCAATCCCTCCGTTTCACAAGCAAGTCAAAGTCTGCTCTCCCATCCCTGCTCCACTGTCTAGTCAATTCAAACATTATAAAGAAATACTTATGTGTCTAATGTGGCCCACAGCCATTTACCAGTCTCCCCAGTCAGCTGAGTAGAGACCGTCTGGCTTGTGTATTGAAGAGTAGGTCAGTCAATGGAGGAGCACCAGCTGCTGAGAGTGATATTGATAAGCAATGAGCTCGCCTGGCATTACTGTGTGCTGGAGCCTGCACAGCCAATGCAAGAAATCCACATAATCAAGCAACCACATTTCTTACTTTCCTAAAGCCCACTTATATTTCACCAAAACTGTCAGCCCTGTGTCCTGGAGATTGCCTTCATGTGCAGCTAATTTGAAACGGCAAATTTTTGAGGGAAATGCAATGCCAAGCAAATCATGTTTTCTATTAATTTAATGAGGAAATGTTGCTGATTAACAGATCTGGAAAGACACAAAGATGTTGATACCTAATGTATCAGCATTATTTTCACATATTTCAACATATTTTATTTGATTTCTACCATTTGTTTTATTAACATCTGACCAAAATCACAATCTTTCACTAACCATAACCAGAGTGAATTTGTTGCAAAACCTCACCACAAATAGGAGTCTGGACACAAACGCGGGGTTCTGATGTCACAGTCCTGGACCCTGTATGTCCAACAGGGACCACCTCTTTGCAAATCCATCTTGGTACGTAACCTGCAGTGTTTCAGGAACTCAAGGAAATATCTCTGAATATAATCTAAGCAGCGGACCCGATGAGGATGTTATCAGCCCATTAAATGGCTGTTGTGTGTGGTAATAGGAAACATAGATATGGGTCAGTAGGGTGCCTATTACACCCATTGGTAGGTTCAGAAGGCTGTTATAAGCCCATTCAATGGTCATTAAAAGACTGTAAGGTTTTCACTTTCCCTATCTTAGGTTTAGCCACTTAAGCAATGTAATTGCAAAAAGATCATGGTTGGGCATAAATATTGGTTTCACATGTCACGCAAACCCTGGGCTCCTGGGTGCAAGTCCTATGTTTGAACCATCCATCACCACTTCCCACATGCACAATGGAGAAAGTCTCATTAAAGACCTTTAATTTTCTTCCACTTAAAACTGTGGGTGCTGTAGGCCCCTACTAACCCATATCCACGAAAGTTATCACCGCTGATATCGGCCATTTAATGGCCTGATAACAGCCAAATCAGCTGATCACTACAACGTAATAATGAATGCAATTCAGTAAATGTAATTTCTCGAAGCCTGGGTTGCAACTGCAGACGCAAAGTCCAGCGATCTCTGAACTACCCAGAATGCAGTTTAAGAGCACTTAACTGCCGTTTTGAAGGTATTCTCACTGGTTACATTAACACACTGAAACTGAGACTTGAACCCAGCCTATACCTGTGTCTCTCAGATCTTACCTGATTGAACCCATGTAGTACTGCAGACTTTAAGACCTGAAGACAAAGCTATATATCTCCTGGTTGTATAAGAATGTTACTGAATGCATTTTGGCCTTTGTAGGTATGTGCAAGGTGCTGATGAGAAACAAATAGGGATCAGCAAGGGTGAGGTGTGATTGGCAACAAGCACTGGGTCAAAGTTCACATCGACTACATTCAGAGCAGAGAGAACCA